GGAAAAAGGTGAGGTTAAGAAGTTAATGTTAAGGTTGGTGTCAGAGGAAGTTCCAAGGGATTTTACTTTTTCAGAGCTTGAGACATTATACTGTTTGTAATATTTAAGCTTTAATTCATGCTTATAAGTTGTGGTAGATTAACATAAGGGAAGTATTTGCAACTGTTGTGATTGTATAGTATTTATGATTACATCTAGTTGGAGGTCTTTAAAATATACCTTTAAAATCAAGATAATATATTGGTTGATGAGAAACTCAACATGAGCCAGCAGTGTGCGCTCGCAGCCCAGAAAGCCAACCGGTATGCTGGCCTGTGTCAAAAGAAGCTTGGCCAGCAGGTTAAGGGAGGTGATTCTTCCCCACTCCTCTACTCTCATGAGACCCCAAGAGGAATGTGGAGCTGTTAGAGCGAGTCGAGAGGAGGACCACAAAGCAGATCAGAGGGCTGGAATGCCTCTCCTGTGAAGACATGCTGAGAGAGCTGGGGTTGTTCAGCCTGGAGAATGCTCCAGGGAGACTTTAGAGCAGCTTCCAGTTCTTAAAGGGGATGACAAGAAAGCTGGAGAAGGACTTTTTACAAGGGCATGTAGTGACAGGACACGGGGAAACGGCATTAAACGAAAGAGGGGATATTTAGATTAGATATTAGGAAGACATTTTTCACTGTGAGGGTGGTGAGACACTGGAACTGGTTGCCCTGGCAAGCTGTGCCTAGCAGTGTTCAAGGCCTAGCAAGTGTTCAAGTGGACGTGGCTTTGAGCAATCTGGTCTAGTGGAAGGTGTCCCTGTCCATGGCAAGGAGATTGGAACTGGATGGTCTTTAAGCTCCTTTCCAACCCAAACCATTCTTTGATTCTGATATATATGTATATTCTGAATACAGCTGTTTAATATTTATAATCTCTCAGATGTGGAAGAAAATGTTTAACCATGAAATGTGTTCAATGGGCAGGTTCTGAAGTCATAAATAGAATTCATAATTAACTTATTTTGTAAATATCTTGATTTTTAAGCCCATCTTGAGAACTTTGACATCCGGTTCTTGCTTTTTAAAAACTTTTTGATTGGCCAAAGTGTAAGAGAATCATAGAATCAGAATCAGATAGCGGAAAATTCAGGTAGCTAAAAATCTAAAAAAAATGCATAGCTAATGCATGCATAAATAAGCCAGCATGTCTTATTCTGTACCCTTTGAATGTTATTGGCCTTTTATTTTATTTTTTTTTTTCATTTACAATGCTTCACCTATATTCAGAAATAAAGGCTTGGTAGTATCTGGTAAGGACATCAACAGCTGTAGAGGTCACTGACCATTAGTTATCTGTGCCTGAATAAAAAACATTGTCCGTGTGAAACTGGAATGTTTGCTCAAATAAACATTAGACCAGATTTTAGGGGACATTGCCCAGGCAGCAAGTTAATAATGGATTATTTAATATTGTAAAACCAATAACTGTTGAAAAACTGTGAAACAAAATTGAAAAATTAGTTGGGAATTGTCTTCCAAAATCCTCCTGCTTCTCATCTCCAGTGATGAGATGGATGGCTTCTCTATGTTACTGGCCTGTTTTCTGCTGGGCAAGGAGAAACAGCACTTCAAGCACAAACAGGGGGTTCACAGTCCTAGCAGAAGAAGAGACCATTTGGGGTGTGACTAAAGATAGGTGTAGGGTGTTACTGCCAGCTGTTTTGCTCAGTTCGGTTAGAAGCTGAGAAACTAGACCTAAAGATGAGAGGTTTGACATTGTCTGGGCCTGGTGTTAGAACATTTGCTGCAGTCCTGTCTGATCATGCTGTCACATAGAGTAAATGTGTGGTGATCAGATACATTGGATCCTGTGCCCTTATCTGTCCATGTGGGCATGTTGATGGGAGTGCTGGCCCACTCAAAGGTTGGCATAAATCTACTGAATCAGCAGCAGGATTTGAAGTAGTGATGACTAAACGTTATCAGCTGTCAATCATATCAATGCCACCTGGGAGCACTAAAATATGTGTGTCCTGAAGATAAAATAAACACAGAAACTGTACATCTTCAGTCTCCTACTTGTACTTCAATAATTTAGCCTTGGATATTAATGCCAGGCCTCAATTATGATAAACATTGATGGTGGCCTAGGTGATGTGAAAGCTGGGTACAGGACTTGGTGCTGGAGCAGCCACAGCAAATAAAGGAAATACTCAGGAATCTCTACTGACCACTGATGTTTGCTGATCCATACTGTAGATACAGTTACCACTTAAATAAATACCCCTTCTGGTATTTATTTTTAAATCATAGAAATCTTTGAACCTAAATCTCAGATCAATGCTAGAAAACGAATTGAGTCAAATGTCATTTCTGAGCCTGGTCTATGGAACAGGTGAACCAAAATCAAAATTAAATGCTCAAAACTTTGGATCCAGACATTCAGATGTTCTCTTTAACTCCCTATTTATCTTCAACTCCACTACATTTATCTTCACTTGTTGCTGTGGCTGTTCAATTTACTATCGTAAGCAGCTGTAGTCAAGAAAGAGAACTAATCAAAATGGGGTGTTCTTGGCTGTGGCTAGTAGTTGATGTAGTGGATTTCTTTCCCAGTACTCCTTTTGGTGAAGAATCTGGTTACATATATGTCCTGGCTTTAGCAGTAGCAGTCATTTTTTCTCTTTCTTGGTAGCTGGTGCAGTGCTGTGTTTTGACTTTTGGGCTGGGAACAGAGCTGATAATGATGTTTTGGTTTGGCGAAGGACTTTGTGAGCCTCATGCTCTGCCAGGGAGTAGGGGAAGCCGGGAGGAAGCAGAGACAGGACACCTGACCCAAACTGACCAAAGAGGTATTCCATACCACAGCACGTCATGCCCACGAGGTAACTGGGAGTTACCCGGAAGGACAGGGGGTCTGCTGGGTCAGACTCATTTTCAGCAGGTGGTATTGTATTCTCTTCCCTTGTTATTATCTCTTATCATTGTTGTCATTGGTGGTAGCGGTGGTGATTTGTGTTGTACATTGGTTGCTGGACGTTCTTATCTCAACCCGTGGGAGTTGCATTCTTTTGATTCTCCTCCCCATCCCTCCGGGAGCGGGGAAGGGGTTAGGGTTAGGGTTAGGGTTAGGGTTAGGGTAAGATCCCATCTAGTTCCACCCCCCTGCCATGGGCAGGGACACCTCACACTAAACCATGTCATCCAAATCTTTGTCCAGCCTGGCCTTGAACACCACCACAGATGGAGCATTTACAACTTCCCTAGGCAACCCATTCCCGTGCCTCATCATCCTTACAGTAAAGAATTTTTTCCTTATATCCAATCTAAACTTCCCCTGTTTAAGTTTTAACCTGTTACCCCTTGTCCTATTGCTACAGACCCTAATGAATAGTCCATCCCCAGCATCCCTATAGCCCCCCTTCAGATACTGGAAAGCTGCTATGAGGTCTCCACGCAGCCTTCTCCAGGCCGAACAACCCCAACTTTCTCAGCTTCTCTTCATACGGGAGGTGCTCCAGTCCCCTGATTATCCTCGTGGCCCTCGCCTGGACTTGTTCCAACAGTTCCGAGTCCTTTTTATGTCAAGGAGACCAGAACTGCACACAATACTCCAAGTGAAGTCTCATGAGAGCAGAGTAAAGGGGCAGGATCACCTCCTTTGACCTGCTGGTCACACTCCTTTTGATGCAGCCCAGGATACGGTTGGCTTTCTGGGCTGCGAGCGCACAATGAAGCCGGCTCATGTTCATTTTCTCATGGACCAGCACCCCCAAGTCCTTCTCCACAGGGCTGCTCTGAATCTCTTCTCTGCCCAACCTGCAGCTGTGCCTGGGATTGCTCTGATCCAGGTGTAGGACCTTGCACTTGGCATGGTTAAACTTCATGAGGTTGGCATCAGCTCACCTCACAAGCGTGTCAAGGTCCCTCTGGATGGCCTTCCCTCCAGCGTATCAACTGAACCGCACAGCTTTATTATTTATATTGATATAAATCTCAGTAGTGTCATTAACTGATAGAGCCACAGTGAGATAAAAATCAGCATGCAAAAAATTAATGCAATAGACTGCCTTATATAACAGCAGAAGTGAGAGGGGCAAAAAAAAGCATTTTGAAGATCATAGTGGGTTGCTGCCCCAATGCTCTTGTCCTCTGACTCCCTAAAACCAATAATGAGTGCGCTGTGTAAGGGTATGGGGTGATGTCTGCTACCCCTGATTTTGGTATGTGGGAAATCAGCAGTGCCTGTGCAGGGAGGTAAAACATACTGGTCATGCTAGGCAAAACTGAGCTGACAAAGGTGAAACTTCCCAAGGGAAAACAAGATGCTGCAATTTGATGATTTAATAAAAAGGGGAATGCTGACACAGCCAACAGCTCATACTGTGGTAAGAATTAGATAGAATTTGAATTTTATGATTTTTTGAGAACTAACTGATTTTGAAATGTTTTTTACTCTGTAATGAATGAAATGAAAATATCTTGAAATTTCTCATTATGTTGAATTGAAATGGAATTATTTTTGCCTCTATTGTGTTTCACATATCACTTTTTGGCTTTTTTTTAAATCTCGGATGCAATTAAATTATTCCTTTATGTAAAATTTATGTTTTTAAGAGCTTTTCAAACTGAAAAAAAACCAAACATATTTGTTATGAACATAACTCCATACAATTTTTCAATATTAGTTTGTATCCACTCAAAATAAAATAATTCTTTTATTTATATTTTATTTATAGCAATAAAATAATCCATTTTAAGCAAATTGCACAAAGCCAGAATACTCCAACAAGCCCTTATTTGTTTCCTGCAAGTCTCTTTGTATGGAGAAATTGTCCGCCATCCTGAGGGATGATTCAGCATCATAAACTCTTCAGAAACAATAATATTTTATTGATTTTGCTTTGAACAAATGATTTTACATATCTGGTGGCAACTAAAGAAAGGCTCTCTGGTCTCATACAAACTGCATAATTATTGCAAATATCAGTGTACTCCTGCCCACAAATGACATTTCTTTCCCATATTCACTCTTCTTGTCTTCTCATTTATTTATATTTGTTATTGTCAGTACAGTTGCTACGTCTCGCTTTAGTGAAATTGATTTTTCTTAGCTACAGGCTGTAGAGTGTCCCTGTGGTTTTTATTATACAGCAGTTAATATGACCTACCTCAAGAAAGCATTAGGCTGATTTTGTGAACCATCATTTTTCCTGCACAGCAGGGTTAGTAAAATATAAGAATATGGAGAGCCTGGGCTTGATTCTACACCAGTGAGAATTATGTGCAGAGGTTTCACATGTGGGTAGTCTTTTCCACTGTCTTTAAGTGAAGTTATAAAGCCTTAGGAAGGAATAATCTTTCTTAAGATCTTCCACAGGAAATAAAAAAAAAAAAAAAGGGCTAAGCTCATTGCATTACAATTAAGAAGTTAACCCATAAAATAACAAAACCCCACTAGCTTTTAATGCTAAACAGTGTTGAAGTTCTCTTCGCCTGTTTATACAGAGTCACACCCGTTATATCAGATATGACTCTGTGAGGGCCCTGAGATCATCCCTTTTTCTGGATGCTTGGGCACCAGGTCTCAGGGCCAACTCAGCAATAGTATGTCTAAGGCTGTTCCCCTTTCCCTTGGTGACCTTGGGGACACGGTCCCAGGCAGTGCTGTGGGGAGGCCACACCGAGAGCCCACGCAGTCCCACTTCGCACAGGAGCTGCTAAGCTCAGGCTGCAGCGTTTTGGCTGCTGCCTGTGCTATACAGCTCCTGCTGCATTGCAGCTGTGCCTGTGCCTGGCCATGGATATTATTGATCCAGATTCAGTCCTGCAGCCTGTCTTTCTGGGCAGACCCTTGTCTTATCACCATGGACTTGTTTGGAGACCACTGGGCTGTGTCTGACTCTGGTTACCATAACCAGACCTGATCCTGACAATAAGGCACTAACTCATATTTCTGGTTTGACCTCAGACTTGCATCATTTCGCATGAACTTACGTGGTGATCTGGCCTTTTCCCATAACCTGTCTACCATCCCTGGGTCTGCCCTGTTTACCTCGCTTAGGTTCTATGGGAAAGGCTCCTGCCCTGCCAGCCTGGTTATCATGCTCAACTCCATCTCACTATCTCTTGGGGAGCAGTAGTCCCACACTGTGCTTTGACAGATTTTTGCTACTGAGGATGTTATTTTCTGATGCCTTTGGGCTGTCTGAGCCCTACAAGTTCTTTTACCCTCCTCGGTTAACTTTAATTCATGCTCTTACTGAGAAGAGGAATTTGAGAATTAAAAGCCAAATACTTTTGTTGGAAAAAGCACCAGTTAAATTTCTTTTTCTAATTTATTCTTGTGCTTTCTTAAACCTGAGAATTCCAAAGATGAAGACTATAATAAGCAATTTATTTATTTAAAGATGTTACACAAATTGAAAGACCAGGTTGGCAATGTGGCTATTATTTTGTTGCAGGTAGTTGAGGTGATTGAATGCTGGCTAGACTTTGGTAGGCTTTTGAGGCAACAAAGGCTGGAGGAAGGAATTTATCTTCCTTGCTTCTCCTGGGCATGAGTCTGACAGAGAAACTTCTTCAGGAAAAGGGAGAATAACTGGTCCTGTAACTGATTTTGTCATGTCTGGTTTGTCTGCTTGAGTCTTTTCTCCATCGAGACTGGGCATATGTCCTACAGCCTCAGGTGGAACTCGCTTTCCATCTTTATGTTTATTTTGACTTTTTGGTAGATTTTTGAAAGAGACCTCCTCAGTTGAAGATGATAGAATCTTAACCCAGCCCACTGTCTTTTCTAGGTGTGGGGAGAAAGGATCAGTTTCTGAAGAGAAATCTTGTTGATGATTCTGGCTGGATTTTACAGGTGTCTGATTAGCTTGCTGTTTCCCTCTTCAGTGGCAGGATCCTATATAACAGGCAATAAGCATTACCTATTTTTAAGCTATTCCAAAGTCTTTCAGTTATAAAGAAGGTCACCCTTCACACTAAGGACCTGCTGCAATTCCAGTCTGGAAAGACCAGCTGCAGAACAGAAGGTCAAAGGACAGACAGATGGAACTCCTTATGCCAGTGGAGTTGGATTCATGAAGCTTGGGTAACTAGACAATTATTACTCTTTGTATTACCTTTGATATTTACAGTTTCTTTGTAGAGCATTCTGAACACAGTCTGTACATTTGACTCTATACTTATTCTATTGCCTCTGCAACACCTAGAAACAATCTCTATCCACCTAGCAACATTCTGTGTTATCACAATACAGATTTCTTTCTTATTTGGCCTTACCACTTTCTTGAAGCCTGTATCTTTGTGAAAAAGAAAAATTTTGAATGGCTGGGCTTTAAAAAAATTAATTCTTGTTTTGTAAATGAGTATTACTCTTGCAATATTAAGATTAGATTAAGAAATACCTGCAGATGGTAGATTTCACAGGATATTGTGACAAACCGTTCCTGTTCCAAGTGACTGTTTACTACAGAGCCTTTGCAGAAGCCTGTTTGCTGGAAGAAGAAAGTGCAAACATTTTTTCACATTGTGGCCCTGCTCATTAGCTCCGTTCTTGTAAAATGATTAAGAAAGACTGAATAGTTATAGCTTTTGTATTTGCAGGGATAAGCACCTTGGTCAAACTTCTGCTTGGGGATTGGCAAGCTTACAAAGCTAGGCAGCATTTTGAAAAAGGCTTTGTATTTGCATTGAGGATTAGGTAACATGATAGTAAAAATAAGTCGGCCACTTAGGGCTCAACTACAACAGCATATTTTAAGTTCTGCTGTACCAGAATATCCCCATGCAGGCAAATTGTGTAATGGAACATAATATCCTTTTTCAGGCAAAACCAATTTCACACCACACTACTGAAAGAAACCATAAAAAAACCCTGTTTCTAATACTTGTGGCTTTACTGGGCTGCAGGTGACATGGCTTGGATCTCAATTAAGATGGGGCTTAAAAGGCTATCTCTTGGCAGCATGCTAATTTAGTCTTTCATTTTCTCTTATACTTTTCCTTAGTTCCTAAATGTTTTCCTTCCTGACCTGATTGCTGTATGAATATACTCCTTACGCATTGTTTATGCTTTACTGTCTATGCCTGTTTACTTGGAGAAAATCCTTAAGAATGAATCAGTTTTGTAAGGCAGTGGCTTCCCCGCCTTTTTCTGGGTGGTTTGGGTTTTTTTTCCTGTTTTCTTTATTCATGAACTTTTAGGTAAGAATTCAGAACTCTTACTGAAATGTTTTCCCTATTCTAAAGCAGTTCATACAGTTGCAAGTGTTCATAAAGCTACAACCCATAAAAAGATGCGCGTGGGCTTTGCTTTTTGCCTGCAAACAACAAAAGAGATAGGCTAAATATTCACTGAGGAATCATAGTATCTGAAAAATAGATGTTTATAGAAGGAAAAGTACTCACAGCTAGTTCTGATGAAAGTGGCTTGCACTTGGAGATGTCAGCAGTCGTGTCATTTTTGGAGCAAGATGTTTCCTGAATTAAAAATTCTACAAAATATGCAGGACCTTCAACTCACTATAAATGAGAGAATAGTATAAATTAGACCATCTGTGTGCATCAGGAAGAAAGAAGAATCCTACAGGCCTTGAAATAGGTGTAAAACTCCTCCTAAATGTGGAAGCAGCAGGTTACAGTTGGGGCATTACTATTAATTGTATTACAGGAGAATGATTTTTTGTCAGCATTGCTTTATTGCCTGGTTAATTTTTACTTCTTAGTAACTTACGGTTTTGCTACAGTTGAAATGAGTTTGGGTTTAGTAGTAAGTTAACATCCACAGAACTACATATTCAAAGACCTGCTTCAGTGCCTTGTTGATAATTTCTGGCTGTTTTAATGAACAGGATCACTTTTTATATTTCTGAAATGCAAGTATGTGTAAAGGATGGAAAATAGGAGCGATTAGATATTGTAGCAATATCTGTTTGAGACAAAGAGTGAAAACCACTTTGCTATCTATAGATAATGATTTTTAGAGAGACCCAGGAGATCAGTTAGACTCTGTTAGTCTAAAATTAGTTTTAAACTAATTTTTTTTTTTTTTCAATAAATAGAATCAAAGTCTTGAATCAATGGAGATCCTCATTTCCCAGGGGAATTCTGCATAGAAATATTCTCTGTTTAATACAGATACAAACTCTAAACAATCTGTAAGACATAACAATTTGTATGAAATATAACATCTGGATCCATACTTCTTGAGGGCTAAAACAAATCAGATGAATCTTGGCTTACCTGCATTGAAGCTCTTGTGACATTGAGGGCAGAGAAATAATGAGTTTCTTCACTCTTTACGTTAAACTTGGCTTTGAACAAAAGCTTCCAAATATTTGGGCTCAGTTGGATTGTCATCAACTGGGCAGTCAGAACATACTGTCCAAATATATCTGGGTGGAACTTTATATTCAAACCAAACAATGTCATTAGAGAAAGCATAATCATTAGAGCATATTGTTAGTGTAGGTCTCTGTAAATGCATCTATGCCCTCAACCCTACCCAGCTGTCCTAAAGTCCCTTGGAGTAACAACATGTGGTTTGATTCACTCAACAATTTTAAATCTTCATGAATTTTCAGACTCATAAAAATATTGCAGTGGAGGCAGAGACACTGCAAGAAAAAAGCGCAGCCTACTGGCAGTGGGCTTGCTGTTTGTACTTGCCTTTTACAAACCCATAAAAATGCTTTTTGGACCAGAAGGTAAAAGCCCATATAGAGGCTCTGCTGAGTTTCCCAGAAATTAAAACAATTATTGACTAGTTTGAGCTGCAGGTCCACATTATCCCTATGGTCTCTGACTTGTGAAAATTAGGGCAGCTGAAAGCTAATAGAGACATGGTAGTGCCATAATTGCAATTAAAATTTACAGTAATGCTGTATAGCAAAGAGTGCTTTACCAGTCCTCTTTTAAAGTGTGTTAAATAAAGACATACCTGGTTGTAAAATGCACTCATAAGTATTAAGATGAGCAAAATTTCTTGCCTGATTAATGTAAATAATTGCTTTGCATTGACCATAAACCTAAAACAATATAAACATTGATAAACAGTTAATACTGCACTCTTTGCACCAATTAGCTAGCACCTAGACAGTGAGTGATTCATTTTCTCCTTGCAGTGATGATATTCTTGTTAAGGAAAAAGTTGTGTTAATAGATCTGTAGTGCTCCTGAAGCACATTTTTAAGTATCCCCTTCAAAAATAAAAGGCCAGATCTTCCAGTGGGGTAATTCTGAGCTAAATGATTCTATGATTCTATTTCTTGATTTCTCAGAAGACATATTGGCCATTTATGCTTTGCACCCTTTTCCTGCTGAAAGATCTGTAAGTAGAAGTACACAGAAGTGCGAAGTTTAAAAATGAAAATTGATTGACTTAAGAAGCAGCCCAGGACAATTTAATCATAACTTCTTTTTTTTTTTTTTTTCTCACCTGAAGCTTCTTTCTTGTCGTTCTTAATTATATAAGGATTTGTTTGGGGTTTTTTTTCACTTGTTCAGAATATTTTTGGTCACCTGTAGCAACACTCTTAGATCACTTTCTGTCTTTGCAGCTTATCTTGCTGAGCTTTCTTTTTCCAACTCTTTCGTTGCAGTTTTTGCAAAGTTGTCAGAATAAAAGGGGAATTAAATGAAACAAAAAATCACATTATATAAAAGTCAGTTTCTTTTATTCCCTTCTTGACAGGCTGTCTTTAAAATAAACTCTTACAGAGTTGCTATAAAAATAAACTATTTATTCTAAAGAGTGTCCTAGCATGGCTATTTGGTTATTTCTGTTTACTAGATCTGGTCAAAAACTGTCTTTTGATTTTCATTTTTAAAAATGAAGTTTACCAGTCTTGAAACTGATTAGAAAATAGAGAGGGAAACTGTGGACCTTAAAAATGGAGTTTGATGTCTTCTAAACTCTGCTGCCTACTAAAAATGCATGTGTAGGGGTTTTGCTGTCATCAGCAGTACTTGAGTAACTCATCATACCTGAGATTAAATAAGAAAATAAAATCCTTACAGTTGTATGATCAAATCTGGCCGTATAATTTTTCCACAACTTTTTGCTGAATACATGGCATTCGGTATCTACTACATCCAAGATGAGATAGAAGACAGAAACAGTGATCTCCTGAAAACAAAAAAAGAAGAGGTAGTATCCCAGATTTGATAGAACAAAGTAGGGACACATAAAAGGGAGAGGTGGAGAAATGCAAAACACACAGGTGTGACACAGATACTCTGAAAACTGAAAGTTCTGTGGGACAGATTCTCAAGAGTGGCCATGTTGAGAACAGCCAGAGCCTCAGGCCATGTTAGAACAGGCTTGGACCTGCATTTAGCCAGCTTTAATTAAAGAAAAGCCCTTTGGAATAATTTTTATCTTTCTGATTCTGGTACCAACCAGAACCCAAGAATAAGGATTAAATATGGTGATGTTTCCATCGTCAACTGCATTTTATGATTAGATTTGAAAGGCAAATTATTTTACCTTCAATAAGAATGAGGTGAGAAACACCACAAATAAAAAATAAAAAACCCCAACCAAACAAAACAAACAAACAAACAAAAGACAAACAAAACCACAAACAGCTGATGTGGATCATTCTCAGTAGGCATTAGAAATAAAAATATTATCTTATTTCTTAGAGTTGTGTCTTCTTCAAGTATGTATGCTTTGCACTTGCTGTAAAGAGGAAATGAGTGCGTTGATGTAGATAACTTAAATATTCTCTCAGGTATCAGAAAGTCCCGTGAGAGACCTTGCATGTCTGTGACTTACTTAAAGCTTCAGTCCAATTCTTGAATTGTGAGCCTGTGCTTAAGTACAAAAACCTTTATTCAGTTCATTGCAGCGCAGGCTCACAAAGCAGTTAAGGGCTCAGTTTTTGGGCAAACGTGTTTCTATGTGAGAGGGACAGGGAAAGATTAAAGGAACAGCTCTATGTATCTAGTGATTACATTATATGGTACAGAAATACAAGGTGCTGCATGATGCAGCTCCTAGTTCTGCTTAAACTGTAGATTATATAAGTTATATTCTCACATACTTACAACTTGCAATGTTTTATATGATTTCTTTATATTTTCATATCATCTTTTTTCCCTATGTGTTCTATGAAATAAGCTGGTAATGTCTTTCACTTAGCTGTTAGGTTTGCCTACACTAATCCTGAGGTTTAATTATCTGTGTTGCTTTAAAAGTTGTGAAAAGATCAAAAGCTGTTTTGACAAAGAGTGAAGCTGAGGTGCAGCAGCCCTGTGTACAGTGTCATGACAGTATCCCCACACCTGGCTGCATAGATCTTTCTGTGGAAAGAACTAGTCATAATCTTCTGTTTACGTACAAGGTATCTAAATACCATGCTAATATGTCCTTACGATGCACTAATATAGGTTAAATCAATAAACAGAAAGCAAAACTGGTGAAAGACTAATTGCCATTAACTGAAAGTGTGGTATGTTTTTGAGTAATGCAGCATTTGGGTTCAAATACACAGGGGAAGTTTAGGTTAGATATAAGGAAGTTCTTTACTGTGAGGGTGGTGAGGCACTGGAACAAGTTGCCCAAGGAAATTGTGAATGCTCCATCCCTGGCAGTGTTCAAGGCCAGGTTGGACAGAGTATTGGATTACATGGTTAGTGTGTGGTGTCACTGCCCATGGCAGGGGGGATGGAACTGAATGATCTTAAGGTCCTTTTCAACACTAACTATTCTATGATTTTATGGTTCTATAATTTAGTACAAGTCTGTAATTTTAAGTATATCCTCTAGGCGGAAAAAAACATCATTAAGACTATCCTGCATGAAGAAGTAATAACCAAGAAAAATGTGTATCTTTAAGGAGTCCCAAAATTGGGACTGATGACCTGAGCTTTCAAGCTGGTTGCTCAAGGTATTCTGATGGCAAAAGCACACACGTCTCATTAAAGAAATGTTCTTAGAGTCAAATGTTTGAGGTAGATGAGTTTACTCAGCTGAATCATGAAGACTGATCATAAAGCTTAGTGATCTTGGGAATTCTAAATGCAAGCAGGGTGGACCAAATTTCCTTTTGCCTGTGGCTCTCTTGTATAATACTAGCAGATGAGGTTATTATAAATTCCACATATATTTTTGTCTACTTGATTCTGTATGCATCATCCTCCACTGGGGAAAGAATAATTTGGGGTTTATTCAGAGCTCAGCAGATCACTGAAGGTTTCATCATCCTTCTTTTAATTTTCATTAAAAGACCATTATGCAAAGGCCTTTTGATATCTGCTTAGTATTGAATAAAATCTGTCTTTTCTGCATTGCCAAAAAGATTCCTTCCTCAGCAGTGCTGATGCTAGAATTGCCACTGGAATGCATGCTGAGGAGCCTGGGAGTTCAGAAGAGATGTGACAGCAGTGCAGCATCCCCTTTGTGGCAGAGTGACCTGGTGCAAGGGAAAGAAATGAAATATTTTGACATATTTTGTAATTTTGGTTAAATGCCCGTCAGTGAAACTCATCATAAGTATCTTGTATGATAGAAAGGTTCTGTTCTACTTGGATATAAGTTAATAGCAAATGTCTCATTAGTTTCAATTAGAGCAAAACTGAACTGTAGGTTGCTTAAGGGCAGATTTGAATTTGAAGTAACTTTGAAAATGTTTTTTTCCTGAGTATCGGTAAAAAAATGGGAGGAAGGACCATTGACTGATGAAATAAAAGAGACTTGTCCTTTTTTTTTTTGAGTGAAGTAGAAGGTTGTTACTGTCCATGAACATCCCTGCCATAGCTGACTGCTTCATATGTACTCAGTTCCAGCAGCAGCAAAAGTGTGACAAAGGGCTTAGATTGTCTACTTGTCTTGAAATAAATTATTTATAGGATGAGCATAATAAATAAAAAAAAAAGTAAATTAAATTCCTAAATTAACAAAGAGCTAAGCATCCCTAAGGCAATAATTTAAGCATCTAGAGAATTAAGTGACAGAACAAATCACAAACAAGGACCAAAATTCTCCTGTGCTGAGATATTCTTGGCACAGGTGAAGGGAGAAGCATGGACATGAATTAAGTGGTTTACAGCATGTCTGCTCCCATCATGCTGCACTCTAGGGTGGGCACAGTGGTGCTCCAATTACTGTCAGTAAGAAAAAACCCCAGGGTGGGGGTCTAAGTACCAAACTCCGCGAGTGATGATGTGTGTTCTGGGCCAGCTCAGAGGCATCCCATGTGCAAAAATTCTCAAGAGACGTGATCCAGTTGCTTAGTGGACACATTCTGTCACCTGAGCAAAACAGTGTAGAGAACATAGTGTAAAGCACAGTGAAGTGCACATCTGCAATTGTGAGATCTCAGACTGCTGGAGGTCACAGCATGTCTGCAAAAACTATGTTCTTGTGAGAGCAGCAGGTAGTGTCAAATTCTTGCCAGTACAGGTCTTTAAACATCTGGCAAGGAGCCTGATTTTCTTTAAAGGTTCAGAATTCAGCCTTTCAGGTTAAGATTATGGAAGCAAGCAAGCCATGGCAGGGAATGTTAGTACATGCTTCCACTATACCTTACATGTTGTGGGCCTTGTGCGCTCATTTCAGGTTGTCCCTGGCTAGTGCCAATAGATTCAGCTATTGTAACACAGAATAGAAATAAATTAAGCACACATAGGGAAATAAGATACTTGAGGGTATGAGACTGATATTCCATAGATATTTCCAGTGTAATTTTTGTACTTGAAATGAATTCAGACTTCTTCTGGAGAATGAGTCATCATTTGGAGGTCTGTGAAGGAATTCCCTGGTCCCAAGCTGGGTGTGTTTACACCTCTTAGTGCTTACATCTTTTGTGCAAAACATACAATTACTTAATAGCCTTTGCACTTCAACTGCTCAAGGCAGTGGGAGGAAGGTGTAAAATTAAATTAAATCAGAGTACTGGTGTTTCATAGCAATTTTGAACTGATGCCTGGAGCTTTTCCAGCGGCAGGCAGCAGAGAATCGTGACTAAGATTTGCTCTTAATTGCTCACAGTGGTGATGAAACTGTTCCTAGTCATCTGTGCGTAAAGCTGACATGGCCTCTGGAGTCCTCTGAATGTAACTTTACATTTGCCTCTTGAAATATTTCTTAGTTCAAATAGATACTGCTAAGGAATTGTGGTAGGCACAGGGCTCTTAATGGGAAAAACTGATACAGAACAAGCAGGCAACTTACCTGAGGATGTTCTTGGACACTGAAAATTCAGTACAGGCTGAGTATGTAGCCCTCATTTCCATCAGCATTGATCTGGCAAAGAGCCAGATCTGCAGCCTTCTCTGCAGCAGTGTCATCACAGGTGAGGGAAAGCAATGCAGCTTGTGCTTCTCCTGGCAGGAGGAGAGGCAGCCCAGAAGCGAAGCGCCTGTATGCCAAAGAGCACTGAACCAAGTAAAACCATTCTGCGCAGTAAACCAGTGCAGCAGATTAGAATGGTAAGTCAGTATGGAGAAGCTGAGACTTGCATGAAATACCAGATTTTTGTAATTGAGCTGTGTCTCCTTTTAAACTTGTGTCCTCTTTTTATTGCATACTGACCATCACCTTTAAACCTACAGCTGCAACAGCAAACAGTAAGTCAATGATTACAAGGTTTTACAGAGGTGTTGTTGCTCCCTCTGAGACCAGAGAGCACTTTCTCATTCTTTATATTTCTAATTCAAATTTCACTGGGCAGATCATATAACTTTGACTTCATCGCAGTGGACAAGAATATACACACAAAGCTGCTTTCTTAAGAAACCAGAGTTGTTTTAATAGACCTACATGCAGGACAGGTCTGTCTCCAGCTCCCTTCTGTCAGTAGGCCATTTCTTCTCCCAAGTAAGATAATGACAAAGATCCAAGTGATCTGAATGGGAATTGGATAACGGCCACAACGTTGACCAATTTTACACTTTGTTTTTAAATGCTAATTGTAAACAAATATACTGACTCTCTTATATGCTGGCAGTTTGGTTGGGATAGAAAGCTCAGTCTGGATTCATTCTTTGAGCATTTCTATTCAGCTGGATACCTACAGATGAATGTTAACCCTCAGCCCAGGTGAAGCTAGCAAAATGCAGTCCATGTGCAGACAAGAAGCCTGTGGATAAATGGCTCAAGATATTAAATACCTTAGATAACATCATAACAAGGCACTGTAAAGAATTAATGGTTTCATCACATCTCTTAAGCACAAATTTCTATCACTAGCACAGATGTGATAAGTTTTGTTCTTCCACCAAAGACTTAATTTCTTTCAGTGAGATGGTGCAAAATGAGCTACTGTAAGAGACTGAAGGAAATAGACAATAAGTGAACCAGGGCTATCAAAACAGTCTTAAGGTATTGAAGGCTTCATTTCAGGATTTGAGCAGAGGACCCCTCACAGGTCCTTGAAAATTCTGCTGGGAGAAACTTAAGTTCGAAATTACATCAGTGTGCCTTGTGGCTAACCTGTCAAGAACTCCATGCTGGGGACAAAGTAAAATAACTGTACAGATAGTTGTTATCTTGAAGATCTACCACCATTACTTGGGGAGGATCAAGTGAAAGTAATTGGTTTCCTAATAAGGAGCAATTCTTTGGTTCAATTCTGCATTTCTTCAGTTTCACCTTGAAGAATACTGGAAGTTGGGTAACTATATCTATGGCCCTCATTTTCTGTCATGGGAGTCTGTATGATCACAGCTGTCTGCTGGGTGACAGGGGACCTTTAGGTTTGAGGGTTGCATTGAGTAAGGAAGGAAAAGTGCAAGTGAAAGACATAATTGTCTCTATTTAATACTCATGTAAAGTTTGGCAAGTTAAAGTTTTTACGTATTGTCATGGGGTTTTACTAGTGGTATAAAGAATCTCAGCTCTTTAGCCCAGAAGCTCTCAAAGCATATTCCTTTGGAGACATCAGAGCCTGTGGAGCGTGCCCATGGAAAGCTGGGTGGGATTATACATAGAGCCAAGAAGACCTGCAATATCACGGGGGCTGAAACTTTTATAAGAAGACGTTGGTTGGTGGCAGACGTGGAAAACTCAGCTGGTTGGAAGGGGCACATGGCTGCTAGACTGAGCATCTTCATGTTTTCACCAGTTGCTTTGCAAACTCAGGGTGAGGGATAATGTATGGACTGTATCCTGGAGGGAAAGGACACAAGGGGTGAATGTTGAGAAATGCTGCTGTAGCCATAGTGTAGGAACAGCAGAAGCAGCAACTCAGGCTCACATTGTTACCTGTGCTTGGGGATGATTCCCCTGGAACTAAAGGGTAATAACTCATTTTCTTTATCTATACAGTGCATGGCATTTCTATGGATATGGGTGCCAGTTAGTACTGGTTGTGTCAGTGCCTCTTATAATTTTATATCCCTGACTGTTCTTTGCACTCTTCCTCCCACTGGAAAGGAAAAATTTTCTCTATTGAAGTAGCTGACTTCAAAACACAGTCACAGCTGGGAAATCTGAGCATGTCCAGCCAAAGCAGCACATGAAGTATGTATGCTTTAGCAAAACAGTGCTTGAGAAAACTGAGAAATATTGTCAGCTAGTGATGCAGAACTACTCCTGATGCATTTCAGGAAAGGAGGCATTTGTATTTTATGTATTGCCATTTTGCAACACTTGCTGCTCATAGAATCTATTATTAAATACTGGATCTGTTGCTAAGGTGCAGGTGCATGAATACAGGGCCGTTCTGGGGGGAGACGAAACAGTCATGGAAAATGTATCCTTTAGCAGGAAAAACATGTCCTTAAGAGGGCAAGTATTAAGAAAGATGAGGTGCAGCTACTAACTGGAATGCACAGAGCAATTTTGCCGTTTTTAGGGGTTTTTTGTTTGTTTTTTTTTTTTTCTCCCCTTATTAGGAAACAATGGAATAGTTACCCCAAGTGTAGGAGAACATCTGTGAAGTGCGGAGGCTGCATGTGTTCTGCTACATATCCTTGCTTTGTGTGGTTGGAAAAGACAACAAGACAATGCAACATTTCTGGAGTTCAGAGATCCCCATTGGCAGGGATCCCTTTTATAAACATTCTGTTTCTGCCAGCAGATAAAGAATTTTCTAAGTCTGGAAAACACTGTCTCTTCTATAACTTAGTGCCCATTTCATTATATGAAACACAATTTGTATGGTTAAGGCAATTCCTGGTTTTAAAATAAAAAAGGTAGGAAAACTAATTGCTCCAGGTGAGTTAAAAACTCATCCTCATGTATCTGCTGTTACTGTAATGCAGATCATAGTAGTAGCCATTTAATTAAGTCCTGTACTGTGTCTCATGCAGTGGGATGGGAGGACCACTTACCTTTCCTCTTTGCGAAATTTCTATAGCTTAGTGCTAGCACTTTGTGAATGAATAGCTTGCATGCAGAACATACTGGAGTCACTGCTTTACAGAGAAGCAAAAACTCACTTAGCAATTGACTGGCAGTAGCTGGTGCAATGGTCTGCACACTTCCTGCCAGAACGCATTGTATTCTTGAAACGTGAGAGCTGCTGCCTTCATGGGGAGAGCTTCTCCTCAGTAAGTTGCCATCACATTTGACTACAGCTTATAGTCTGGGCTGACTGCCCTTTTTCTTTCCCTTCTATACACCCAGTTGAAGCACTGGTTCAAGTGCCTATGGCTTTTTCTTTCCCTGTGGGTATAACAGAGCAGAACCTTTCTGTATAGCAACTTGTTGCACTGTCACCAAGAACAAATGTTAGTTTGTTGCTTTCTGAATACTAGAAGGTTGTAAGTAGGAGAACAGTGTAGGTTATTTGAAACAGTTCCGAAATGACATGTGTTCTGCAGCTTTTGCTGCCTGCATGATAATTACCTTGTAGCAAGTACTGTTCCTGGTTAAAGATTCATGAGTGTCTTAGAGACTGCTCCCACAGGGCCTGCAGAATTCCAGTCTGGCTGGCAGTAAAGATCATTCTGGCCCCTGTCTCTTATTACTTTTCTACCTAGAACAGATTTTGCCTCTAACATGTGTCAGAAATTTGGGGAAGATTTGGCTGCTAGGGCAACGGTAAACTGCCATCACTGTCCGACACCTATTACATAAGATATATGTCTGTAATATATTTTTATTCCCTTGAATTGGTATTCCTTCATATACAGATAGCACATGCAGTACCCATGATCATATTGCATCTGTGTATTTGCTGGAAGACAGAGAATGCACTTCTGTTTGGCTGGAAGGATTGATGCTTTCAGCCTCCGCAGCCTTGAATGTGGGTTCTTTGCTCTTTTCATAGACATGGATGCCATGTCCAAAAGTATTGAAGTACTTCTGGTAGATAATAAAAGTAGGTACATGCTAGGAAACACTACAAGTGGAAGGGATAAATACATTTTTTCCTGCCACTTCTTCAGTGTTACCAGTGTGTGATCAAAAGAAAGGACTGACCTGATTTTCTAGTGCTCAGTACCCACACATCCCAGTGAAGCTGATGAGAAGTGCAGGAGCTTACTGTTTTTGAGATCAAGCCTAGAATATGACTCATAATGCTGTGAAGGAGGTACTTGACAACTAAATGAAAATATATACAGACAGAAGATACCAAAGCATTTCTGTTGAGCATTTTATTGTGCAGTAACTTTTCAGGTGATGTTTCTATCACAAAGCTGCAACTGCTGTATATGTCTTACAACAGTTTCATTGAAACATTATTTTCTGTATTTTAACTAGAGCATCCTTGTATGTAGAGGAAAGAACTGCTGTATGTAGTAATCATCTATATTTCGAACCAGGCCTTTTTGCAAGATGCTGGCCACAGCTCTGCCCTCTGGAGGGTAAAATTCATTTAGGCTCAGAGTCAAGCATTCTCATCTATTTGTATTTGATGCTGTGGCCTGTGTTTTGATGCTGCTGCTGCACACTTGTGCTTCACTAAGCTGTATTGCTATGTCTGTAACAGCCTATATCTTGAAATGGTGAATCTTCCCAGGGCATGGAGGAGGAGGAGGCACAAAGCCAACCGGGCGAGGTACTTTATCATGCTGAGCAACCTCTGCAACTTCTCTCTTTGCTACAGGTTTTGCAGAGAGCACGTGAGTAGGAAATTCTGAAGAGCTGGATTCAGATGCAACAGGGTTATTGTGGGAGAGCCTGAGATTGTGGTTTGTGAAGCCTTGTACAACACTGGGCACCAGTCCAGCTGATGTGTCTTGGCCTGGTTGAGAGTAGGTAACTCCAGGCTGGAAAAGAATAAGTTTGTATTTGTGTTCAGTATCTTGGGGTTCATAATAGAAACATCATTGACCTCTTAATAGGTACCCTACTCCTAACTATATATAGACCTCCAATGAGGTACAAAATATTCCTGACCATCACAGAAGTTTGATTTGCATTTTAACACATACACAGGAGCTCAGGAACACGTTTTTAATATCAGGCAGATCATTAGCACCAAATTCTGTGCTCCGTGAACTTTCAGGGCCACCTATGCAGCTGGTGAAGCATTCAAAACTAGCTGTCTTACTCTTTATTTCATATATGTCCCAGACAGCTCTTGTGTTACCAAGAGCTCTGGTCCATAGAAAGTATTCAACCACCACCTAGCCCTTCTCAAACCAAATGGAGACTAAATTACCTGGAGAGCACCCTAGTGCTAGCATATATATGTTTCCCTCCTGTTGCTATAGCAGTGCAGGTCAGGCTCCCTGAATTCAGTCGCATGTAAGGACTACTAGTAAAAAAAACCCAGCTGATTTCATCTACCACAATGGCTCTTTTATATTTTACATCTATCTGCCTCATCCCCCTAACTGAGGAGAGTTTGGTTCCCTTTTCTCCATCAGACATGTGAAGCTTCCAGATAGTTAAGAGGAAAAACTGTAAAAAAAAAAAAAAAAAGCATGGATGGCAGAGATGACATAACTCCTGGCACAGAAGTCCATAGGATTATCAGGAGCTACTTTACCTTGTTTTTTTAGGATACAAAATTAAACTCAAGTTATCACAGATAGCAAAAGAAGTAAACTCAGGGAGTGTTTCTGACAGTTTAGTAGGCTAGAATACTCTGGAAAGGAAGGGAGTATCTGGTGTTGGTACCTGATGTCCATAGAGCTGGCAGTCCACTTTGAGATCCTGTGAGGGGCGTGTTACCATTGTTGCTGTGCAGAAACCAAAATTCTGGCAAAGCAGAACATAGTCAATAGAAAATAGCTATAAAATACAGGAGACCTGCATTACAATTTTTACTTATCAGTATATTTAGAAATCTTCTCATGTTTTATCTGAGCAGTAAAGTGCTTGCTTTTTAGTCTGTTGGACAAAAAAAGCCAAGCTGTTTAAATGCCTAACCAGCAAATAAGTGAAACTCCTTCATTTTTCTAGAATAATGTCCTTTGTATGTCTGGATATGATGGAGGGAAAGAATATATAGGAATCTTCCCACCCACTAAAACTGCTTAGGACTCAATTTGATCAGAAACAAAACAAAACAAACAAAAAAGGCATTATAAAGTGTACAGTATAATTCTCAACAGCCTATATGTCAGAACAAAGCAAAATGACTGCACTTAAATTACAGGAAGGTGAAACAGTCTTCCCTTTTTCTATGTGTTTGTGTACTGCCCAGTACAAACAGCCTGTTTTTCTCAGGTGTTCTTGATAAAAAGAATAAAAAAATAATATATATTCTGTTGATTCAAAATATTTTGTGTTAAAAACATTTTAGTCCTCAAGCCTTTTTGAAATGCATTCAAATACATCAGGTTTCAGTGCAGACACTTCAGAGAGAAAAGAAAGGTGTGATATAGCTTTAGGAATTATATATTGAAAAGCATATAATGATGGTATACCACTCTTGTACTTTCATCCTCACAAAGGGCTATTCCTGCACAAGTGTTAGCACATCACAGTATGCTGCTTTTTCACCTCTACTTACAGACTGATCTTCAGGCAGCAGTTGACAAGCCTCCACATTAACTTTAGCAACTTCTGCTGAGCAGTTCGTGGCAGCCACAGCAAACTCAACAGAGACAGCATGTGTTGGTTCATACTGTTAATACAGGAAAATTGTTTAAATGACTTTGAACCAAGAGAGCTGCTGACAAAAGATAAGAGGCAAATGTTGTGGTTTCTAACTCTGCATCTCTCACTGAAGTGAAAAAGAATCCTGTAGCTAAAATGACACAAAATGCTTAGGAAATCAAGAGCAATTCAGTAGGCCAAATAAGAGCAAGGTCAATCTGTTTGCAAACATACCTAGTTAGCACTGTACAGTTACCCCTGAAGAAATATTCTGTTCACATGGAAGGCAGACATAGTTCTAGCAATTACCTGTATTTTGGCTCTTCCAATCTCTAGGAGTCTGAGGTAAGCATCAGCCGTTTTGCTGTTGTGGTCATTGAGTGCAGTTGTAACAGCTGTTAATACATCAGTATTATTCAGACTTGCCAGCAGTGGACAGTCAGGGCAGAGTTGGAGAACATCTTCACTTGAGTCTGCGGGAGGAATCAAACAGATCATGTTTCGATCCGATTGGCTGTTTTGAAAGGCATTGTAGACCTGTTCAGTCACACAGAAAATACTGTTTCATGATCAGTTCCAAATTATAGCGGAAGGAATTTTTACAGTACAGACTATAGATGGCAGTGTTTCACACGACTTGCCCTATTTAAGCCTGCAAGTTAAAAGTGCTGTGGACTTCAGCATATTTTGAATGTTCTTACTCAGGTTTTAATAAATTTTCTTTCAGGCAAACTATCCATGACACCAACGAAAATATGTATCAGCTCACCCAAGAAATGGTGGGAAAATGAATATATTTTCATTTATTGGGATTTTTTTTTTTTTTTATGAGTGTGTTATTTCATTCACTCACCAGTTTTGAAAGTAGTCCTAAAGATACCTCATACAGAGCAAAGAAATCTCATATGACCAGTGGCAATATTGAAAATGCTGGATTTAGTAAATATGCTGCATCTGGCAAAAGGACTCTGAATATCAGCAAGCTTCAGTAAATTCAGACTGACAAGGAATCAAATTCTCCAGGCTAAACTTCTGAGTCTCAGAAGTCTCAGTACCAGTAAACTCCAGGTCAAATATGGGGCTTGCTCCCCAGAGAGTCTTATAGTGTCTTAATAGACACAGTAAAAAGGAGCAAAGAGAGAGGGCTGGGTTTGTAGGTGAAGGAAATGAGATTCAAAATTAAATAACAAAGTCTTTACCTGCATGTGAGTGGCATTTACTAGCAAGTACAGATAATATTCCGTTCACCCTCTGCAGTTTGACATCACAGTCACCTTCAACTGCCTGGACAGAGTAAAAAAATCAAAGGGTTACATTGTTCAGATAAATAGGGATTTATGAAAAGGGTGACTATTACTAGATTCAAAAGAGCAGATCCTGGCTGAGTGTTCCTGGCAATATCAGTCTGATTGCAAAGGCGCTGCTGAGGCGTGTCTGAGTGTCTGTGATTTTGTAAAACAGGCCAGAGCTGCAAAATTTGGATCCAAATCTGGATGTCAAAAGTATCAGAAGTGCCAGTGTAGCCAGATTATACACATTTCATTCAGGTGCCTCTCTCATAAAGAAGAATATGAATACTTTGAATTAAGTCCTTCTGCAGAGCATTTTGATAATCTCAGCTGGTCAGTGGCCGTGCTAACAGCAGTGTGCTGCCTTGTACAAGCT